TTCAGCGTCACTAATTTTTGTACAATGCCAGGTCAAGCAGCAAGCTGCAGGCAAATGACTGCAGTCTTCTGTCTATATTAGGGAAGGGCAAATAATGAATAGAGTTGCTTATTCTAATGAAGCTCAATCAGAATAGGTAAATTTTGAATGAAGAAGAATTATAACTTCAGACACTGAAACAGAATGATATACAGACCTTCCACTGTGCACATTTATTTTTTTTAATTGGGGGAAGAGTAGACTTCTTGGCATCAATAACTTTCTTTTATGAACCTCTCCATACCTTTCAGAAAAATTATAATTTTCAGTTTATGGCTTTGCTAGAAATGGCTGTATTGAAACCTTGATCTTTTCCTAGTTATGTATAAACTAATTTCCATTTCTACAGCTGTGGCTTTTCTTTCCTGTGGCGTTTGCTACATAGGAAATTTTATCAATCACCAAGCTCTTACACCAAACATAACAAGGAAAAAAGAAATGTGTGGAGATGGGAAGAATTCAGCTTCCCTCACGCATTTTTTCCCTTTTTGCTCTAAAAGTCAAAAGTCTTCCTCTCATCCTCTACTTTATGTGATGTTAATACAGTCCCAACAAGGAATGTGTATAAATGTTTCCAATGTCTTGAGACAGGCCATTTAGGATTCTCCAATTATGTGAGAGTTCTCATTTTCAGCATCCAACAAGACACCAGCATTTTTTCTCCCTGTTATGGTTTGTGCATTGTATGAAGAATGTCTCTAGTATCTTTCTCTTTTCTCATAGCTGTTGTTATGAGCTGTCAAGTTGCCTTTGACGTATGGCGACCCTATGGATGAGCGATGTCCAATATGTCCTGTCCTCAACAACCCTGTTCAGCTCTTGGGGACTCAAACTTGTCGCTTCCTTTAGGTAGTCAATCCTTCTTGTATTTGTTTTTCTTTTCCTACTGTCTTCCACCTTTCCCAGCATCATTGTCTCTTCCAGAGAATCCTGCCTTCTCATGATGTGCCCAAAGTAGAATAACCTCAATTACATTATTTTTGCCTGCAGAAAAAGCTCAGGCGTCATTTTATCTAGGACACTTATTTGTGTTTCTGGTGGTCCAGGGTATCTGCTAAACTCTCTTCCAGCATCACACATCAAACAAATAATTTTCCCCTGTCAGCTTTCTTAACTGTCACAGTTAAGAAAGTAACTGTAACTGTATTTCACACCCACACAGGGTGATTGGAAATACACATCTGGATAATGTTGGTCTTGGTCTCCAGTGACACAACTGTACAGTTGATGATCTTTTCTAATTCCTTCATTGCTATCCTTCCTAGTCTCAGTCCTCTTCTGATTTTTTTGCTGCAGTCTTCATTTGGATTGATTATTGAACCAAGGTATACTCAGCCCACCTGATTTTTTTGCTGTAGTCTTCATTTGATTGATTATTGAACCAAGGTATACAAAATCTTTGTTTCAATTTCTTCATTGTTACGTACGAAGTTATGTAATTCTTCTGTAGTCATGATTCAATTTCTTCATTGTCATGTATGAAGTTATGTAATTCTTCTGTAGTCATTATTTTTGTCTTCTTAATGTTCAACTGTAATCCTGATTTGACACTTTCTTCTTTCATTTTCACTAAATGTTTTTCCTAAAAGTAATTTCAAGTCATTACTGCTTTCTGCTAGCAAGATGGTACGTATCATCTGCATATCTTAAATTATTGATGTTTCTCACTCCTCCTTCACCTGAATCTAGTCTGGCCTTCCATATGATATGTTCTGCATACAGACTGAGCAGATAAGGGGGTAAAATTCATTCTTGTCTGACACCTTTGCCTGTCACTCCATATTCTGTCCTAATGGTTGCTTCTTGTCCAAAATACAAGTTGTACCTCAGGACAATCAGATGCTGAAGCGCACCCATTTCTTTCACAAAATACAAGTTGTACCTTAGGACAACCAGATGCTGAAGCGCACCCATTTCTTTCACAACAACCATAGTTTCTTATGATCTACACAGTCTATAGTACATACTTTATGTCTATAGTACATACATTTATGTCTTTAGTCTATAGTACATACATTTATCTTCTAAAATTCTTGTGTGAGCTCCTGTAACCAGTGGTTATGTACAGTGTGATCTTGAGTGCCTCTTCCTTTTTGGAGTCTAGCCTGAACATGAAATTTCTTCCTCTATTAAGATTAAAGCCTTTGTTGCAACACCCTGAGTATCACTTTGCTAGCATAGGAAATTAAAGCAATGGTCCTATAATTACTAAACTTCTTGGCATCTCCTTTCTTTAGGATTAGTATGTATATTGACTGTTTCCAGTCTGTGAAACATTGTCTTGTTTTCCATGTTTGTTGACATATTCTTTTGACAAGTTCTATCTGTGTACTTTTGAAACACATCTATCGGTATTCCATCTATCCCACTAATTTATTTCTTCCCAATGTTTTCAGGACAGTTTTCACTTCACTTTCTAAAATTGCCAGTTGCTCATAACAGAATTCGTGTTCAAAAGAGTCTTTCATCCTTTTATCTCTTTTGTGCAATTCTTCAATAAATTGCTTCCTCATGCCCTTTATTTTATCCTGGTCAAGTAGTCTGCTTCTCTTTTGGTCTTTCAGCATTTCTAATCTAGGCTTAAATTTCCCATTGATTTCTTGGATCATCTGGAAGAGAGCTCTTGTTTTTCTTCTTTTGTTACTCTCTTCTATTTCTTTGCATTGGCCATTGCAATAGTTCTCTTTGACCGTACGTGACAGTCACTGAAAAACTGCATTCAGGGTTCTGACTCTACTTCTGTCTTTTACTTTTGTTTCTTGTCAGTCCTTTGCCATTTTAAGTATTTCTTCTGTCATCCATCTAGGTTTTTATTTTCTTTTTACTATAGTAATTGTCTGTTTGCTTTCTTTTCTGATAATATTGCTGGTTTTGCTTCACAGTTCTTCTTGTTTGTAGTAAATTGTGTTTTGTAGAGTAAATCTGTTCTTTATGTGCTCTTTACATTCATCCAGAGTGTTTGTTATATAGTTTGTTTTCTATACTGACCACTCGGTAATGTCTATGTGTATAATCACCTATTTGGTTGTTTTCAGCATGTATTTGGAATAAACAGATTTCTCATACTAAGCAAACTTACTGTATACTGTGTGGAAGAGGCATAAAAGAACAGGTTTATTGCTCACTAAGATGCACATAACTATATGATGCTTCTTTTTAAAGAACATGTAACAATAAGGCAACAGTGAATGTGCACATTCTTTCTGAAACCATGACCAACAATGAATTTCACTTTTTCACTGTGAACAAAAACATTTTTTTTGTGTGCTTTTTAATTTTATTTTCAAGAATGAATCAGATCATGATGTCTGTCTCTTGGCCTAAAGATGAACAAATTGGTTTGCTGCTGCTGAAGGGTAGTCAGTGTCTGGCCATTAGGTAGTCAGTGCATATAGCCAAACAATTTGAATAGAAAGAACCTTGAACCAACATGAATTAAAAGGGTTTATTTATATTGGTTGAAGAAGAAATATTTACCACCGCTTTACAAACTGAATAAAAACAAAAATAGATCTGTAACCTTACAAATACGGCCATATTCTCACAAACATCTCTAGTGGACAAAATGTTCATGTTACTCTATGCCATTTTATTGTTTATCTAGTTACTAAATATTTTATAGTTGATCTTTATATTACCATTTTTCCTGTTTGTTACTGAATATGTTCCACTTAATATGTTAAAATTCTTATAGTTTTTTTTAATGAAAATGAAAAAAAGAATTTATAAAATAAAATTTACACACATGCACACATATTACTAGCCTACCTACCTGGACATATCTGCAATGAATCATTAGGGGGGCTGAAAACCTAAAGAAAAAGAACAATATGTGTAAAGGTTCCTAGGCAACATTGTGAGTATCTGTTTAACAAAACTGGGTATCAGTGTATAACCACTGATCTGATCTTACAAGCCACTGTGCCAAGAGGAGCAATGAATGAAGCTATATAATTATGGCTCAAATTAACTCACTTCCACCACCTCTGAATCTGTTATATTAGCACTATGGGTAGGCTTTGGATTTGAACACATTCCTCATCCAGACTTGAGGAAGATACAGTATCTGAATCAGAATGCGACTTCTCCAAAGTAAACTGAATCTGAATCCTTACCCTTCTGAAAATTTCTGTTTTTAACTGTTTCTTTAATTTCATAGTCATCTAAAAACTCCAGACCAAATGTACATGACTCTACTATTTACATACTCATGTCCAGACTCCATGAATTCATTGTCATAGTATCTTATTCTGATCCATGTGTAAGCCAGGCCTCAAAAGCACATTAGCAATTTGAACATTTTTAAAATATGTATACAGGTATAGCTCCAGACATCTCAATCAATGACTGAAAAGTAACAAGTGGCTGATTTGTGCATTTTCCCCTCAGTTCCCTCAAAAACTAATTTAAAAGCTTTAAAATGGGAATAGAATTCCTCTCTCTGTACCTGCCTGGAGATTTTTCTTCAGGAGAGATCCACAAATTTTAACTTTGCCTATTTTACAGGTTATGATGGAAAAGAGAAAAAAATATAAATTATTAGCTAATTAGTTGGTAGTAGTCTGTAACAATTCAGCTACCTTTAGAAATTATGGCTGAAATCCTGTTGCTTAGCATACTGTTGCAACTTGACTAGGCAACTTTGGTTCAACTGAACTGATAGCGGAGTTGACTCACTAAGTCCCCACTGGTTCATTGGGTCTATTCTAGTGCAACGTTTGTGGTGATTCAACAGGATTTCAGTCATTGTGTTCATATCTAATTTCAGACAGAAAGGATAAGCCTTGTGTGGTTTCTTAGTATTAGTAGTAATTTCTGTTGTGTTTTTTGTCACTTTTTCTGAATTCTGGACCAAATTCCTCGAGTATACTAGTATTGTTATTACTGAACTTCTTTTTTTCTAGATGTTCTGAATTGCTCTGACCAACAATTCCCTTTTCTTCCTTCATTTTTTTCTGCAGGAGTGACAACTGTACTAACAATGACAACTTTAAGCATCAGTGCTCGAAACTCCCTGCCCAAAGTTGCCTATGCTACAGCTATGGACTGGTTTATTGCTGTTTGTTATGCATTTGTATTCTCTGCCTTGATAGAATTTGCCACTGTAAATTACTTCACAAAAAGAGGATGGGCATGGGATGGAAAAAGTGTAGTCAATGATAAGGTGAGAAAGAAAAGAACATGTTTAAAAGTCATTCCAGTTCCTTGAAATCCATTTAGCAACATCTACTGTTGATACATTTCTCTGATTGAAAAATAATTGAAGTCCTAAACCAATATAAAGACAGAGTAGATTAAAACAAGAGTGGAGAGGAAGAGAAGCTGACAGTTTGAGCACATACACCACCAGAAATTAAATTGTACATATGGTGTCTTTCTCCATCTGTTTGAGATGAAAAAATGAAATATTGTCCCAAGGCTATCTGTAAATTAAACAATAGCCCATCTCTGTCTGTTAAATTTCCAAAACAAGCTTCAGCAGCATTTCATTTCTTCAGCAGTTCTGTGGGACAAAATGATTGAAGACAAAGATACTTCCCTATAAAGAATTTTAATCAGACTTAGTCACACTCAACATCTCATATTTCAATCTCATGTTTAGGGATGTGTGAGAATGTTTTTCCTTTCAATTTTTTTAGCAGTTAATCCAATTCAAATTTCAATATCTAAATGGTAAAATGACTGCGAAGAAAATTAGTATTTGACAACTTGCACACATTTGAAAAATACAATAAAGCTCTGTGAAATTATAAAGTGGGTGCAAAGTATATTTCATTCAAGAATGGCCTGCTTCTGGGAGGACGTTTTCTGTTTGTCTTTTTTTAAAAAAAAGCAATGCAGTGCATTTGCACTTCCCTAATGTATTTATGGACCAAACTCCGGGTGGTAGTGGAAGACAGGAGGGCCTGGCGTGCTCTGGTCCATGGGGTCATGAAGAGTCAGACATGACTTGACTAAACAACAACCACAATATACTTTTTAAGCCATTTCATGATACTGGCAAATCAACAGCAGAAGGCTCACTTTTGGCTCATTTCCAGTTACTCACACAGGAAACAACCCAAACACAGAGATTGTACCTGCATCCAAAATGTAGAAGCTCCTAACAGAGGCCAGAAAGGTGCGGGTAGAAACACCCTGGTCACTAGAAGACTAGATACTAACATTGGATTACATTGTTGGATTGACAAATAACCCTGAATCTCCCTTCTTCCAGCAAAATGGGTAAAATTGTACTGTTCAACTTTGCATGTCCCAATGGTAGTCTCAATTGTTCTGCTTACACCTTATTTAATCTCATGTTAACAATTCTTACTGAACAATATCTTACTTCAGATTGCAGATTTTATACATGCGAGACCACTCATACTTCAAGCTCCATGTACATAGAAAAATAGTTTGTCAGATGGAAGGCTAAACCTGAATTCTTTGTTTGAAGTGGCAGTCTTGCAGTCCAGCAAGCGCTGCAACATACAGTTCTCTTGATCACATAGATGGGATCTGATGTGGCCCACTTAGAAAAGACTATAACATAGAAAAGAGTCCAGATGATTCAAACTGTTACTTGGAAAGAAATTAAAGTAGCATTTTCTTATCTTCCAAGACTTGTCAAGTGTGAATCCTGGTGACTGCAGTAACACTGATATAAGCTGTTTCAGCAATATGGAAATTTAGGCCCACTTATAATACTTGAATTATTCATAGTGATAGCTTGTGATTTTGTTTACATTTTCTCAGTTCACCTCCTGTTATTAGAAAGACTTTTTGTTACATTTTTGTTACACGAAAGCCCCTTTGTGCCTTGTAAGGGATGTGGTAGTAATTACGGCATTTTTTAAAAAAGTGTCCCATGTCCCCAGTTTAAAATAATAATACAAATTGGGCTACTAACAAAACTTTTACTTTATATGGAGTAAGAAATGCTTGATGTTCAATTGGATTCCTAAAAGGAAGATGCACCAGAGAGGATAGTGCAAATATATGCTGGCTACTAGAACACACCAAGAAATTTCAGAAGATCAGTCTATGCTTAATAGACTGCAGCAAAGTCATATGCCTCAACACTTGATTGACCTAGTATTGAGTAACCTTATTTTGGACAAGTATCTATTATAAGGACAAAATATGGAAGGATAAATGGTTTCTCATAGGCAAATGTGTCAGACAAGGGTACATTTTATCTCCCTGTCTGTTTAGTCTTTATTGTTGAAACTGAACAAAATTGAAATTGTTAAAGGCTTTGTATAACTTGGTTCAGTCATCAAATCAAATGGAGCCTTCAGCCAAGAAATCAGAAGACAACTGAGACTTGAAGTATGAATGAACTAGAAAGGATCATCAAGTGTAAAAATGTGTCACTGAAGACTAAGGCTAAGATGATCAACATATTTGTATTTTTAGTTACTATTTATGGATGTTGGAAGCTGTACAGTGATGGAAGATGACAGGGAAACAAAAAGAGCCATTTGAAATTTGGTACTCAGTGAGAACTTTGTATATATCCTGGACTGCCGTAAAGATGAAAAAGTGAGGTAAAAGGTAAAGGTTCCCCTTGACATTTAGTCCAGTCGTGTCCGACTCTAGGGTACGGTACTCATCCGCGTTTCCAAGCCAACGTTTGTCCGAAGACAGTTTTTGTGGTCACGTGGCCAGCGTGACTAGACACGGAATGCCGTTTACCTTCCCACCGTGGTGGAACTTATTTATCTACTCGCATTTACATGCTTTTGAACTGCTAGGTTGGCAGGAGCTGGGACAAGCAACGAGAGGTCACTCCGTCCCGTGGATTTATCTTACGACTGCTTGGTCTTCTGACCCTGCAGCACAGAGGCTTCTGTGGTTTAACCTGCAGCGCCACCACGTCCCCTTTATGAACAAGTGAGCCTTAGATCAAATCAAGCCTGAACTTTTCTCTGGAAGCAAACATGAGGATGCTGAGGCTGCCTTTCTGTTGGCACATAATGAGAAGACAAGACTTACTGAAAAAAAAGCTCTACAGAGAACCATTAAAATTGCCCAGAATATCATCGGGCTCCAGCTACCAACCCTGGATGACATCTTCACATCCCGCTGTCTAAGGAAATCACATAGCATCCTGAGAGACTCTTCCCATCCTGCTGATAACTTTTTTGAACTGTTACCATCTGGCAGAAGATACAGAACAATTAAGACTCGGACCACACGTTTTCTCAATAGTTTTTATCCCAGAGCTATAATTGCAATTAATAATGAGCTTAAAGACCA